CTCTATCCAGGGAGCAGGAAGGTCCCTGGCACAGAGGGTGATCTTTGTGCAGATGTGGAGCTCTTCCAGAAGGAGCTGCAGTGTCACGGGTGAGCTGCAGTCACAGGAGCTGCTGGGTGGAATGTCCAGAATGCCTCTCTCCTTCAGCCTGCTCTGCTCCTATTTTTGTGTCTTAGGCTTCCCCTCCCCCCCTTAAAATACTTTATAGGTCAACTGGGCTTTTGCTGGCTGGCAAATCAATTTGGTCTAACATCAACAGGTGAGTGTCATGGTGCCCTTGGTGCAAAAGCCTTGCTTCTGAAGATATGGGTCTGAAGAGGCCATTCTTCCCTTGTCACCCCTCCTGCCATGTAGCGTTTAACCTTTGCAATGGTCCTCATCTTTATGCATTGCACAGCCTTGAATTAGCCTTTCTGTTTTATCTCGGAGCTCTTGGCTGTGGTTAAGGGTCTTCCCAGCAGCCTGGCTAATCTCAGTTTTAGATGATTGATCTTCAGCTCTTCTCCTTTTCCAGAGGCAGAGTAGCAGCAGGCTGCTGTGGCTGGAGGTGTTTGTACACAGTTATAAATAGCACATGCTGCTTGAATGTTTTTCAGGTTAGAGAAGGGTAGTTTGGGGGATGCAAGGCAGTAGAGCCTTAGATACTGGATTATTTTGTACTTGAGCATGATTGGTGGGGGTGAAAGCCAGTTCTAAAGAATGATCTTGCTATGTCAGTAAGCTAATGTGAAGCTGGCTTGATACAGCTTTAAAATGAAATGCCAACTAGCAGCTGCCTTCGGGTCTTTTCCTATGGGAAACAGTAACTTGCCCCTTGTAGCTGCTGCAGATAGATCACAGGATAAGCCAGCAGAGGTGGAGCAGCTGGCCTCCCTTGTCTGGCAGAGGACTCATTGGGGTGTTTCAGGACACAACTGCCTGATGCTCCTTTGCGTCATCATCAACTGAAATTCAGATAAGGACCTGCAGTGCTCAGGTTCATGTATAATGCCCCCCACTGGGGTAGTGGTGGGGGCAGAAAAGAAGGGGCATATGGCTTTTCTAATGAAAATGGAATATTCCACATTATTAATATAATTTTTAGAGGAATATTGACTTAGTAAATCTGTACAGGGAGAAGTGTCGAATTAATTGGTAGGAGAAGAATGAAATGTTTTCCCAGCGAGGAATACCAACTATTAGGGATTGTCTCTGCTTCTTGATATGTGCCTCAATAAGGGAAGAGAAACTTAGCTTTCACATGACCCTGTGTCCTGAATCACCAGATCCATCAAAAACCATGGGAAACAATTGACAGCTTGTGGCTGACCCCTGTAGGACTGGTCTCTCTTGATCACCCCTCATTCAGCTGCTCCCTCTGGCAGGCTGCAAGCAGAATTTGAACTGGTTTTCCTGGAATAGCACTTCTGGTGGTAACAGGATTAAAACACTCTCACCTCTTCTCTCTCTTCCCAAATGTATTTCCAAGAGGGCTCGTCATCTGTCATAAACTTAGCTGCGTAAACCTGACTCCTTTGGCTGAACCCTCGGCTAGCTTTATTTCCAGGAAAGCCAGTGGTACTGCAGATCACCCTGTGCCCCTCTCTTCCCACAGAGTTGTTCTGTGCTCAGCCTTGGGGCAAATGAGCCAGCAAGTCCGACAGAATCACAGGTGCACTTAAACTGAAATACCTCAGAAGCTCCTGTGTGTATGCATGTATGTACACAAGTATTAAAAAAAAAAAACAACCCAGACAAAAAAACCCACCAAACAACAAACACCCAGAAAGTATTCAAAGAATGAAATTGCTAATTAGCAAAAATTCTTATTTTATCCTATGTTCTCCTCTGTCCCCCTATTCCACTTGGCTGTAAAACAGTGATAGAGCAGGCAGCTGCAGTTTCCTGGCATAGTTGGGACTTGGCTGTTTTGTTTTTCTTAAGCAACTTCCAGCTCGATTTAACTGCAGTTGTTTTCAGTATTGCTATTAAATCGTTCTGCGCACTGAGATCCCAAGTCAGAAAGCATTGTTCTCTAAGCACCATCTCTTGGGTGACAGCCCCCACCCCAGCATGGCCTTTGCACACAGGGTGTCTCCACATGCCTGCACGCTCAACATCCACCTTCCCACTGGGTTTTTCAGCTAAGCCAGCAACTCTCTGCAATGCACTCAGTGCAGTGGATTTTCCTGGGTGGCCATGGTGCTGTGCTGGGATTCATTCTGGTTTTGGCTCTGTTGAGGTTTCTTTGTGTGTCTTTCCTCCCCTCCTCAGATGTGAAGGTGTCTTGGGGAACGTTATGAGTGCTAATGTCATGGTGCTGATAAAACGTAATTTCTGCAAGGCTGACTTCCTTCATGTTGGGCAGGATGTTTGAACCATGTGGCTACTATCTGGAACAGGCTGGGCTCAATGGCTTACTGCTAATTGAGTAAGTAAGATCAGAATTAGACTGCTAAACATTGCTCTAGGACAGAGCAAAAGACTGGGATTATAGTGCTAAAAATTGCTTCAGAGGTGGGAACTTGGATTTTCTGCTAAGTTGCTACCTCACAGTGCCTAAACTCCTGACCCCAGAGTCTCTGGTCACATTCAACGGTCCAGTTCTGTGTGTGCTTGAGCTACTGGTGTTGATGGGTTTCCTAAGGACAGAATTGCGTTCTCAGGCTGCGTTGGTGGAAAACATGTTGTTGGCACATGCGTATTGCAAAAGAGTGGGATGTGTCAACATAGCATTGAGGGTGTTGTTGCTCTTATCCCCATTGTATTTATTAACCTGGGTCTAACTTGGGTTCTTTCATTCTGCTGCCTCCTTTCTGCAGTTGCAAGTCTGGGTGGGAGAGCAAAATGGAGGGATTTCCAGATAGCTTCCAAAATGGTTTGAACTGATAATCTTTCATCTTTCTCCAGGAACTGAGCTTCAGTTTGATTGGAGAAAAGTCTTAATTTGTGAAAGCATGTCTCTTTCCTGCTGGTTTCTTTAATTATTCCCCTCACATTCTTTTCACATGTATATTTCCCCGATGCCCCTGGGAGTGCAGTGGTTGGCTGGTGCTTAGAGGAACTGCTGTCTTGTGTCTCTCCGTGGCCAGGAGATGTGTGTGGAAGCAGCAGTCAGTGTGTGCAAAGAGCAGCATGCTGGGTGCTGAGGGTTTGGCTCGGGTTGATATTTTTGTTTTGTTTTCTCCCATTCCTCCTTTCCCACTGGAGAAGTCTGATTTTTCTTGCCAGATTGGGCTCCTAGTGACCCTGAGATAATGGGCTTAGTAGATGCATTCCCTTTTGTGCAGACGAGATGTCTCCTCTCCTCCAAACCCAGCTGGTTCTCACTGTGTGAAAGGGTAAAGGTAAAGCAGGCATGCCTTTATGAATCCTGCTTGCCATCAGGGCCTAGTATGTTACTGTGGAATTGAACATGGAAGAGATGGACACCAAAGACTCTGCAGGTGGCACTAAGTCACCGATTCTCTAATGGAGTATAGTGTCTGTCTTGCTCACCTGAGATGTGGCTGACATTCATAGCAGAGCTGGCATCACTTAGGTGGAAAGCACTGACATTGCTGTTTGCTGGCACTTTTGCTTACAGGCAGATGACTCTCTTTGTGTTAGAAAAAAGATGATGCTTACTAGAAAAGTTTGTGGAATATGTTTTGAAGTGGATTTAGCCATAAGCTCAAAGCTGTTAAAGCATCTCCCTTGTTTTCTTTGTTAGTCTGTGTTTTCACCAGCCCTGCATTGGCTAGTGAAACAGGATCTTAGAAAAATAGGGAGGCTTTAGCCAGATGCATGTGATCTTGCTTGACTTTATAAAACACATGTAAGATGAGGATAGCTCTTTGCAGTGGGGGAGTGTGAGGGCCAAGACAGCAAACTTCCATGACTTCTGTAACACTGCCCGTAGTAACCTCTCCTCTTGAATGATAGATCAGCCAGTGGGGAGAAACATCTGAGTAAAGCTGTGAACGAGGCTTTTCTGTACCTTATTTTGTAAAGGAGAAGGCTGGTTTTGCTAGGATTTCATGGTGTGTTTTTTCTTTCTCTCATTGCAGGTGAGGCTGGTGCCAGCATTATTCGAGTGTCAAAAGAAGCTCGGAAGAGGTTCTTGGGCCCACTCCACCCATCTTTCAACTTAGTGAAGATCATTCGGATCTGCCTGTCCAAGACTGTGCCAGAGAATGGGCATGAGGTTGCAGCAGGACGTTTGGGTATTTCCCTGACACGGGTCTCAGATGGAGAAAATGTGATACTGTCAGACTTCAATTCCAAGGAGGAGCTGATCCAGGTGAATGGAAACTAACTGCAGAGGGCTAGGCAGGAATGTTTTGCCTTGGTCTCCAAATGGCCTTAGTATTGGAGCATAATTGTCAGCATGTGCCAGTGTAGTCTTCTGAGTAATAGGTTCAGTAGGCTTTGATCTGTTTCTTACATTCTGGATCTTTCTCCCTCAGGCCTGTGTCTGCAGCACCTTTATCCCTGTCTACTGTGGGCTGATACCTCCAACCTTGCGTGGAGTGGTAAGACTCTTAAGATGCTCCTTCATTAAATCATGTACTAATGAATAAGAAGGCAGAAATGCGGATACTTGGTTTTATTGCCTGTCTGCTGGCAGCAATTACCCTCAAGAGACATGAGAAATTCCCAAATAAACAACTTCCAACAGTGGATGTGCATTCTTTCTGCTGCCTGCAGTTGGCTATAAGTGTCCTGAAGACTAAAGGATTTAACATGATAGTAGTATGTAACAATCTGGGCAAGTGCTGGCCAGCTTAACAGATGGTTCTCCTGTCTGCTTGGTACAATCCTCTCCATCACTGAGGCACCAACCATCTGCATGTGGAAAGAACTTTTGTCCAGTATAGAAATTATGAGTGTAGTCCCTCTCCCACATGCCTGACGCTTTCTGTGGGGTTTTAATTAGTGGTGCTGATACCAGACCTCTTTTCCATGGAGTTCTTCCTCTGAGAATAATGTTCTGCTGCCTGCTAGAGGTTTTTTTTCACATCCTGTCTAAGGCTGTCCAGAGCAATTTCTCCCTTCTGTATTTGCATGTTAGAACTGAAAACACTCAAAAGCTGTGCAGAGCATGAGCGTCTCTGAATATTGCAGTCATGCATAAGGGCCTCAGTTGAGCTTGGACTCCCCTTGTGCTACATAGGTTAATGTACACCTTAAAAGGCAGTTTGTTTGCAAACTGAATAGTCAAAAGGGAGAGGGAGAACTGTTATTAATGTATGTGTGCCCTGGTTTCCCGTAAGTGACCTAACCAAGATGCTCTGTCAGAGCACAGCATCAAATCTGCTCCCACTGCTACCAGTGTCCTAAAAGTAAGGTCACTTTTGTTCCTGCATAATATACAACTTCACTGTGTTTGTCTTGTGCAAGCATGTTGGGCAGGGAAATGACCTAGAAGAAATGTCCAATGTCCAGCCCTTCAGAGAAGTGACAGAATCAGGTTTTTTTGTCCTACAGCTGGTGGGAGCATAGCAGTGGCTCTTGCCTGACACCTGTTTTGGGTTAGTTGAGGTCAGTGTGGATCAGGCAAAATCTCAAAATTCCAAAGCTCTGTACAACATCGGGGTTTCTGGAATGTGCAGCTGCCCTGGCACACTGAGGGATGACTTCTCATGTCAAGTTTCCTCATGGGGAAAGGTGGGGAGGAAATATGAGATGAGGAAATTAATTCCTACCTCTTCCCCAGAAAATCATGGCCCTTCCTGTCTCTGAAGGAGGAGGTGGCAAGGGGAGAGGTTAAGTCTGGGTATGAGTGTGGGAAAAGGCTGATGACTGTATTTGCCACAGGACAGACTGACAGACCTGGCATGAGGACCAGTTTTCACGGCAATATGATTGCATGCAAGGTGTAAAATCTATGTTCTGCCTTCCTCCTAATCTTTTGTCAATGCTCACTTCACTGAGCTCTGGTAGCCCCATGGAGTGGATGATGAAGATGGGTGAGGGGATGAAAAAAAGAATTCTCAAATACCAAGGAATGGAAAGGTCAATAACTGACCTGTCAACACATACTAGCCATGAGCTGTCTGTGGCATGTGGGTGATATGAACCCCTAGCAAGGGTCAAAAAGCAAATTGTCATTTCACATGAGTAAGGGGCCCTGTGCACAGGAGGGCATGATAAGGGAATGGAACTAGGCACCCCAGAAATTACACCAGTCCATGAACCATCCCCAACAGCTGCTGCTGCTCATGCCTGCAGGCAGCTGGGGGCTCCAGCCTGTGGCTCTGTGGTGTTAGGGACTCTGCAGGAGGCTGGAGAGTGGATAGGCTTGGGCTCCTGGAGGTTCAGGCAAATACAAAAAAGTGGAATAGTGGACCAGAGAGTGGGGTTTGCACGTGTATTCCTAGATTTCCGTGCAGTGAGAAGGCTTTGCCTGTTAGTCTTATTGTAGTTAAGCCTTCTTTCTAATGGCTTCCATGCATTCATGCTGCCACCCTCAGGGAAACGTATGTTTCTGCATCCTTGCCACAAAACTAGTGTTGTCTTAGTTAAGTGACCAAAATGCTTACCTCCATCTTCTTCAAACCAAGCAGGTGCTGCCTGCTTTGCTCTGTTCTCTTCCTACTCAGCCTGTCATGATCTCATCCTTGCAGAGGGAGTCAGCCAGACATCTCCAGCTCTAGCTGTGCCTAGTCTGGCTTTCAGTGGAGCAGCTTTGGGGGGGTAGTGACAATGACAGTTTACTATGGTTGCTTTTGGCTTAGGGAAAACTGATGCCCACTTTAAAAGGGGGCAAGGGCTCAAGTGATTTTTTTGGTACTTCTGTTGTCTAGAAAGCATCCTGTAAGCAAGCTGAGTGTTCCTGTTTCCAAGAAGGTGTACTTCTCCTTGAGTTTAATCCATCCCATCCTTCTGTTTTCTTCACTACCCAAACCCAGGTGGTGCACAAGTCTCTGTCTGTCTTGATACTGTGTTTGGTGAACAAGGATAAAACATGAGGATAAAATGCCCTGATCTATGAGTTACTGGTGTTGTAGCTTACAACTGTAATCACAAGCCATCTTCCTTGAACCTATAGGTGGTATGCAGAGGTAGCCCTGAGGTTTAGTTTGCTCCCAAGAAACCTGCTGTGCAGTCCACCCTGACCCTGTTGCCTTGATGGGAGCTGGATTCCTACAGCTGAATGTGATTGTTTTCAGCCCAAGAGCCTATGAACTGTTCCCCAGGCTCAGAGGAGCTGCCTGAAGAGTTCTCTGCCTACCTTCCAGAGCAAGAGAGAACAAAGTGAAAGCACCCTCCAGGCAAAGCGGCCAGCATTTTCCTAGGCATTCTGCAGCAAAATAGTGATGTTGGTGGTCAGTCTGCCTGTGAGACAAGGCAAAGTGTGATTCAGAATGGAACGCCTCTTCCGATGAACATTTCCATGCTCTGCCTAGGTTCAGGCTCTGCCAGCTCAGCTCCTAATCCAGAAGAGAGCTGAAAGATGTTACAGCTGCTGCTTATGGGGCTGTGTAGCTTCTGTATGATTACTTGCTTTTGAACACATCCAAAGGGAAGGGTTCCAGGCAGCAAATGGCAGGATCAACCCTGATACAAAATCAGCAGGACTCTTCTGTAACAGAGGTTCACAAGAGCTTGAGTTGTCACTCTGCAAAGGTCTGAAACTCCCTGTTCTTTTGGCTTGACTAACATCCCCTTCCTTTTATCTTCTGCATGTTGCTTGCTGTGCTAAAGGCCTGCGATAGGGATTGTCTTGCTCAGCTCCTTGTGTAATTATGGTACTGCAGCAAATGCTTTGAATTGAGTACATGCTACTGGGGTTGCCCTTCCCGCAAGGGTAGCGCAAATGTGTTTATTGTACATAGGTACAGAACATTCTTTGATAAGAGGGTGCCTGTTAAGAACAAAACCAAGTCCCTTGTACTTTATCACACCACAGCAACTAGATTCCAAATGTGTATGAATGTGTTGGGACTGCTGCTCAATAAGCCTGCTAGCAACAAATCACCTGGTTTTACTCTTGGGTAACAAACCTTCTGCCAGTGGGGACTCATGTCTGAACTTACTAGTTTTAAACACAAGTGAAAAATGGCACAGTGTGACAGCTTAGATCAGTGCTAATTTGCACTGCAGGTGGTTGTTGGTGTGTCATGTTATTTAATTGGACAGCAGTCAAACCCCATAGGAGGGGTAAGTCAGCAGTCACACAAGTCACTATGCCTTTCTCATTGAACACTTGGGACCAACACACTTGACCGTAGGAAGAAAGGCATATAGGAAAAGGAGATTATGGACAGCACAGCTGTGTTGTCCTTGGTTTTGACTCCTCCAGTGCCAGTGGATGTAGTCCATTCTCTTCCCAATTTGTTAGGACAAATATGAACAGGGACACAGAATTAAAAAAAAAAGCTGCTTGATCAGTTATAAAAATGAAGAGTGCTTCATTTCTCTTGATTTTAGAGATATGTCGACGGGGGGATTTCTGACAACTTGCCACGATATGAGCTGAAGAACACAATCACAGTGTCTCCATTCTCAGGAGAGAGTGACATCTGTCCACGAGACAGTTCCACGAACATGCATGAGCTGAGAGTCACCAATACAAGCATCCAGTTCAACCTTCGCAACCTCTACCGCCTCTCAAAGGCCCTGTTTCCTCCAGAGCCACAGGTGAGTTTCCTGGCAGCACCAGAACTTGGGCACAGTAGATAGGCACTGGCTATGCTGTGCATTTTAGCAGTAGAAGATTCCAGATACTGTCAGTTTTGTATCTCTTGTTTGTCTGTTTTTTAACCTTGACATTATCAACCCAGTGATGTGGCAAAACTTGACCGTCTGCCTGGGTTGAGTTTCTGCCATACAAGGTTGTATAGGTGGCTGGCTTTTCTTTTGCTACTGGGAGATCTGGAATTTAGGTGGTAGCAGTTGCTTGGAAAGTATTCCTATGTTGTGCTCTCTGGAGCAGTGTTTGCCAGGAAGTTGGGCTTACTTGTAAACAAGGATGTATCAGATGTCAGAACCAATGTGCTCCTGAGTGTTTTAAGGTCAGGATGGAGCTGCCAGCCTGCAGCCAGTGACTGTCTCAAAAAGTGCTATTAGAGCAGGTGGCACTGCAAACAGCTATGCATTCTTCTGAGCAAATGCAGCCTCACATAGCCATGGCATTTGGGCATAAGCATGCATTCGTGTGCTGAATTACTTGGACAAGTTTTTCCTGCTCCCTCTCAAGTCTTAGCTGGCTTTATCTGCAAACGCAGTGGCCCTTCCTGGTGTCTGCTGGGAAGTATTTTGGACTGCTTGTCAGAGTGACTCAGTGAAGGCTGCCCATAGCAGCATCAGCAATAGATGGGGAAATTAGGTGGCTGCATCTCTAAGCCTGTACTTAGGTAGGATTCCAGGTGTCCTTTCTAACTGAATTATCATGTGATTCCTATATCCAATG